GATTTTGTCAAACACAGAATTGGGGGCATCAGACACCAAGGCTCTCTTTCCATCCATTTTTTGCTTGTTTGTTTGTTTAGGAGCATCACTGGCTGTGCCAGCAGAGTTCTTGGAAAGAGGTTTTTTTTAGTTATGTTGTGCTCCCTCTGCTGACTCTGCAGCAACAGGACACAGAGAGGTCCAGGTCCTGTGCTGGGAAATGGGGGAAAATCGGGAATCTGTGGGCCAGGAATGTGTGAAACAACAATGGGCAACAGCTTTGAGTCACTGTTTGAGACACAAAAAAATGCACAGAGTTTGGTTCATCCAAAACAAAATTATCTCTGTTTGATACAAATGTTGTCTATTAGATAAAGTCCATTATAGTGGCAGTTGCTATTAGTGAAAAAAATACAATTTTCATGATTGAGGAAGGTATCTCCTAAAGATTGAAAGCTTAGAGCTCCACTGTCCTCTGGCATAACCAGGAATATTAAAAATCTGTGGAGCAATCCCACACCTGCTGAAGAGGAGCAATGTTCTATGGAGAGCACTGAGAATGGAGGATAGGGAGGGAAGATAATGTTCTTTCATTGGAGAAACAGAGAACTGAGACAAAAATATGAGGTTTTGTTTTTTTTTTTTTGCCAGGAAAAAGAAAATGCAGCAAGATGTGATTTTCTCTCAATAACCTGAAGTTCAATAATCCCTCACATCTGGGACCTGAGAGCCGCACTGAGAAAATGCTGCCTTGAGCTGCTCGAGCATTGCCACACAGAATTTCTGTGTCAGAGGCAATGAGAGAGCTGAGTTATTGGAAGGGGAATGCAGCTGGGTTATCACAGGTCTGCTCCATTTTTATAGCCCTTCTGCAGCCTCCTCCTCCAAAAGATCAGTGCAGGTCTTTAATTCAGTGGATGCGGTGCCATCACTTAGGGGAGATGTGTCACTTAGGCACATGTAAAATGTGTTGTTATTCTTCCAAACAGATAAATAAATTGAATCTATGGGGTATCAAGCTGCCCTTTCACCATCTCTAAATTTTTCCTAAAAGCTGAGGACGACTGTGTGACCTTAACAAACTTTTGTAGATGTTATTTCACGGAGGGTCTGAGCTGCCTTAATTAAATTAATTGGCAAAAGTCCCATTAAGTTCTGCAGGACTTGCACGTGAGTTCACTTGACAAACTCTGACACATTTATACACAAGAGGAAATCAATCTATTCCATGAAATTTGCTTTTGTAAAGAAAAACCCACAGCATTATTTAGTTCACATATCAATTTCTCCATATTTATACCTGCCCATGTCATGTCATTATAGCTTGATTTTAATAATGTTTCAAAGCTGACAGGCTTTACCTATTTATTTTTGTCTCATTTTCTGTAACTCCTGTCAGTTGGGATGTTCTGGTTGCTTAATTAAATACCTGTAGGGTCATATTTGGGGAGTTTTGTCTGGAAAGAGCGTGTCTAGAATGCAGCATAACAGGCCCTTCAGGTTACCTGAGCACAGGTAGTGTTTATGGCAAAGAGCAGCTTGTGATGCAGGATGTTTTTCGTACCATGGCAATCTCCTCTGTTAGATTTTATGTTTTCCTAGTTGGAGAAATGCAGGGAATAACTGTCTGAGGAACTGGAGAGCAGATCAATTAGAGGATGGGGTGATTGATGAGATCTCTGCCTGTCAGCAGCAGAATAACCAAGGGTGGCTGTGCCAGGTGAGCTCAGTGCCTTTGGCTCCTTGCACATAACCCTGAGCAGTTCCACAGGAGATTAAACAGACTGAGGGCTCTTAGAAAGCTCCATAGCTCAGAATTAAATGTTATCTCAGCAGCATTATCTCTTTCACTCCTGCTCTTCTGGAGGATTAAATGTCCAAACTCCTCCATCTGACTTCCTCTGCTGCTGCTCTGCTCAGCCTCTTGCTGGCTCAGAAGGATTTTTGCACATGAAAATTTTCTAAATCAGATAAATACTTACAGATCTATTGCCTGGATGTCACACAAGCTGCTGTGAGTTATAGCAATTCTCTAATCTGTTCATAGGACCCATCCATTGGATTTTTTTAATCTTGGGGTTTTTTTTTTAATTTTTTTAGTTTTGGTTGTTGTTTTCTGGTTCTTTTAAAGCCATAAGAAGACTACAATCAGTTGATTTTTTTTCCCCCAGAGGGAAATGTTGTCATTCCTCTTTCCTGGGGAGAAAAAAAGACAAAGTACACAACAAAAATCAAGCTACATGCAAAATAGAATTATTTGTAAAATAACCATTAAACATAGGGACAGTCTTCACATTTTGGTTTCCAACAGTGCAAGAGTAAAACTAGCACAGAAAAAGTTTCCTTCATTTTAGTATTTCTAACATAAATTCATCTGAAAATTGAAAATCCTTGTTCCTACTGTAACAGAATATTTTGTTAAATTGAACTAGGTACCCATAATTTACTTAAATCATATGTGTGGATTGGAACTTTAACACTGTAACAAGATGCTTTGTGTTTTATACCAAAAACCTGAGCAAACATGGAAATTCTCATCATTCAGAAGTGCTTGTGAGCAATATTACTCTGGGATCTTGAGAGTCATGGGATGTTAACCACTGGAAGGGTTAAATGATGATGAAAACCATCACAGTTCTAGGTTGGAAATACTTTTACCATGAAACCACGCTGGCATTTTTTGGTAGACTTTGCTGAAATGATTTGGCTGTACTGGCTGGGAAGCAAGATTCCTGATAAGAAATTACTACGAACTCTTGGATTTTTGTGCGTGCCAAGCCAGACCTCTGGACTCACCTGCTTATCTGAGTTTTTCTAAGCTGGGAGATATCTGTCCCTGGGGAAGCTCATGCACACTCTGGGCTGTGACAGAGTTTACAGAGTTACTGGTGTTACACATCATCGACCTCTCCAGAACATCCCAGCCGTGGGCTGAGCAAAGTGAAACACAGCTCAGCTCTAATTTGCTGCTCAGCTCACTGGGCTTTTTAACTTGAAAAGACAAAGTGATGAGCTCTCAAGGCTGTGAGAATGTTTTTCAGAGGTTTGATGGAGAGTGCAGGAAAACTTAATTTTTCAGTGAGATCAGTGCCAGATGATTGAGTTCCTCTCTCCTCAGTGAGTGGCCCCAGCTTGTCCTTGCCTTTAAGCAGGTGCTGAACCTCTCCAGGTGCTGCCCCAGAGCAGGGAGGTGTCTGAGCAAGGGCAGCCGTGGGTGTGAGTGCTCCTGCCTTTTGATGATTTGGTTTCCTGCAGTTATTCCTTGTCCACACAGCAACCTGGGAGTTCCTGGGATGAAGCTGGGCTGTGACTGGGAATGTGCCTGTAGCCGTCCTTCACCCTTGAGGCACAGCTCTAGTAGAAATTAATAACCCTTGATGTCACTTGCTTAAAGGAGTATAAAAAAATTTAAAATGTCTCTTGATTTTTGTGGTTTTTTAAAGATGTGTCTGGTCATTACCAGAAAGAAAATGGGATCTTAAGAAGGAGTCTGTTCTGCCTTATTGCTTCTTTTGGGAACACATTTCCCAGTGTTGATGGCCAGGGATTTGCACTTGGTGCTCACAGAAAATGTTGTGGAATCAGAGAATCTCCTGAGCTGGAATGGACCCATAGGGATCATCCAGTCCAACTCCTGTTCCTGCACAGCCACCCCAACAATCCCACCCTGGGCATCCCTGGGAATGCTGTTCCTGGAGCTCTGGCAGCCTCAGGGCCGGGACCATTCCCTGGGGAGCCTGGGCAGGGCTCGTGATTCGAGCCTGGACTTGGAACTTGACCATTTGGGAGAGAACACACAGCAGCAAGGCACCCTGACAAGCTGCCATGTGTTTTCCCCAGGGATTTGTCACTTGTGGCAGTTAGAAATCCTGTTGTTTCCTTACTTTCATTAAGGATAGCATCCTTAATATCCCATCCAGTGGGATCAGGGAGTGGCTGGGCACCTCTTTGTTCCTGCTGCAGTGAGAATCTCTCCTCTCAAATGTAAGAATTAAAAAGATCCCTTGCAGCCTTTGTTGTCAACATCAAGGCAGAAGAACTGAAGGGAGTCCTAAAAGTGGGAAGAGTGTTGGTGACATTCCTGAGGGAAGGCAAAGAGAAGTGCAACCATCTCCAGGTCCTGGCATGGCTGATGGGGAAGGTAGCCACAGCTTCATTTACCAATGTCAAAAACAGGCTGAGCTCCAAATTCTGGAGCACCTCTGTTCCAATATCTTCATTTTTCAACAGCACTTTTGGCTGTGTGGCAGAGTAGTTTTGATTCAAAGCAGATCAAGTCTAAGTTTCTGTTATCTAGAGGTTAAAGGCCACTCCCTTGATTGGGTTTAAAGTCCAAATTAAACAGCCAAAGTGACCAAGCTATTTTAGTTCTGAAACATCTCTTCTATTTTTAGGGTAGAATGTTCTTTTTATAAATCATGGAAAATTAAACACAGGCTCTGGTTATAAAATAGTCTTTGCACTTGCTGTAACTTAAAAACATTTTCATAGTTGAAATATATCTAAATCAAGGATTTTGGTTCAGCTGTCAGAAGAGGACTTTTCATATCTCAATATCTAAATTCACTCAATTTGCAGAAGATTTTTACAGATAGAAGTCTCTTATTTGTTTACTGCTTTCAAGGTTGGCATAAATATATATGGAATCTGAAAAGTCATAACTTACATTTCCTTGATCCTTGGGTTCAAGACTGGGATTAAACTTTTGGCAAACTCGAATGAGCACAGTTTTCAAATATTTCTGGTTATTTGGATGAAAGCCATCACTATTTAACACCAGTTACTTTGGGGTTTTTTCTTCGTATAAAAATCCTTGAGATTTTCAGGCACTTGGGAAGAATGGTGATTAGAATTTGAAAAAAATGAGAATTATGTGTGGGAGACTTAATTTTATTGATGTGCATGCTATGGAGAGATGGAGTTAAGGTTTTCGTCTCAAGCTGGAACACCTGAACCTCAGCTGAACATACTGGAGACAAACAACTCCTTCTAAAATGTCTTTTTCTTGTTGGTGTTTGCAGGGATTACAATGGTTGACACAGAAATGCCGTTTTGGCCCATGAATTTTGGAATCAGCCCCGTGGATCTGTCAGCCATGGATGATCACACACATTCCTTTGACATCAAGCCCTTCACCACCGTTGACTTCTCGAGCATTTCCTCCCCGCACTATGAAGATCTTCCTCTTGCCAGAGCTGACCAGTCAGGCCTGGATTATAAATATGATATCAAGCTCCAGGACTGCCAAAGTAAGCTTTGCCTTTTTTGAAGTGTTTCCCTCATGTCCATGTTTCCTTCATTCCCTGGAACGTGTGCTAGCCCCAAATGGATTTAGAACTCAGATCAGCAGAGATGTCCTTGCAGGGCAGGCAGAAAAGAGAATACCCAGAGCAGACTTTTCACCCTGCCAGAGCAGCAGCTGGAGTTTAGGCAAGCTATCATAAAGTACCCAAAATGACATTTTATTAGAACATGGACCCCTCCGTTGTCTCCTTTCCTGTACCTTGTGTGCAGCTTTTCCTTTGAGGCTCTATGCACACAATGCAAAATAAACACCCTGAATGCTGAAGAATGCCCAGCACACAGAGCATTTTAATTATTAATATCTGCAGCTTTTAAATTCCAAACAGCCTCAGAAACGGATGGAGTAGAAGTATTTGCTGAATCTGAGCCACAGCATTGTTACAACTCCATCACAGCTCCTGGATTATTTACTTGCTGTGAAACTGGTGATTATTTACTTGCTATGAAACATGCTGCTCTTTCACAACTTACACTCACAAAATGACACTAAATCCTCCTTTTAAAAAAGGAAGTGACCTATTCCTAAATAAATTGTTACTGCATTCCTGCTCAGAGCAGGAATGTGAGGTTGCTGCACCTGGAATTCTGTTGAGGATCCATTTCTGCTTAGATCTGACCTCACTTTTATTTGTGGTAATCTGTACAAGAACTCCTTCAGGGAATTCCTGCTGGGGAAATTGTGGTATCTAATTTTGGTGGTACAGTGAAGCAGGTGCTGTGTGTCTCTGCACTACTACTGTGATAAATGAACCGACATTTTTCCAGCTACTCATTTGTTTCTCTTTTGTTTAATTAGAAATATTCATAACACTTCAATGCCAAGTAGTTTTAAATAGTGTACCAGAGTTTAGATGGCATAAATCCTCCTCATCTTTACTTATTTTTTTCCCAGTTTATACAGGAATAAATCTTTCTAGTTTGTATAGTAGAGCCAATCTGGAAAAATAAAAATATTCGCCTTCTTTAATACTCTGTTACATCACTCCTGATGTAATGTAATTTTCAAATATCACAGCTGTCTTCTATGACCAGTGATGATTGATTTAAAGACATAATCTTTACTTGTTTGAGGTCATTCAATATTAGAAATTGCTCTCTTAATTAGAAACATTCATAAGAGAAAATTTATCTCTAAACTGCACCCAAAGTTCAGCAGTTTTCCCCAAGAGAGAGCTACATTTCATTTAAATGTTATTTTATCTTATGTATATATATATATATATGTATATATGTATATATATACACAGAGGATATATATCTATATATATATACACATAGGATATATCTATATATATACACACATAGGAGATTTATATGGATATATAGATATATAGATAAGATTTATATATACACATAGCATATATGTGTGTGTATATATCATATGTATAATATATATATAATATATATGTATAATAGATGTATAATATATATTATATGTATTATATTTATAAATATATAAATACATACATATTTTATCTCATATATATAAAATTGAATAATATATTATTCATTATTCATATATTATATTATAATATATTCAGTATATAGCTCTATTAGATACTCAAATATGTGTTAAACTAGATTAGACACTGCAGCCCATCTCCCTGCAGGAGTTTTCAACACCTTAGAGGAATAAACCAGGTAGAGACCGAGTAAAGCCCAAGTTCTCCATACATTAATTTTCAATATCCATCTATAAACCGTTCCACACTCCAGAGCTGAAAGCTGGACTTGTAATACACTTTCCCCATCAGAATCTGCCCCTTCCAGCTTTTCCAGCCACGGAAATGCAGCTCCAGCTCCTTTTTCAGCCTTTGTCTGCTGCTGGCTTTGCTGTGGAGCAGAGCTGGCCATCCCATCCCAACGTCACCGGGATGCCTTGTGCTTATTCCCCACTGCTTCCTCCACAAACTTAATCAGAGTTTACCCCTAAACTCTTCTCTGTGCACAGGTGCCATCAAGATGGAGCCTCCTTCCCCACCCTATTTCTCAGAAAAAGTTCAGTTGTACAACAAACCTCACGAGGAGGCGTCCAACTCGCTGATGGCCATTGAGTGCCGCGTGTGCGGGGACAAAGCCTCCGGCTTCCACTACGGGGTGCACGCCTGCGAGGGCTGCAAGGTGAGCTGCCAAAAAAGCATTCCCCTGAACGTTTGACACTATTTTCATCTTGGTAAAATCACACTTTTGTGCTTTTTTTTAAAAAAAAAAAATAAAGTTTAGGTCTTTACGTCAATTTTCCCATGTATAATTTATGGTTTAATAAGCAGGAGTTTTTTGAAACGTAGCTTGCTTTTTTTCTTGTTGTTGGTATTGATCTATTCAAATTTTTTTTGTGCATTTTTCCCCCTTCTTTTAATCATGCAAGCACATATCATTCCTGCTGTCTTGAAGGTCATGTGCAAAAAATCGGAATTCTTAGAACACAGCAAGAGAAAACTCTTGCCCAACTCCAAAACTTTGAGCAATTAAAATTCAGGCTCTGTTATTCTGATTAATTCAAGTTTCTTTACCCACTTTACACAGTTCAGGTGACTACAGAGAAGTCGGATGGTATTGAGGAATGTGCTTTCTGCTCTAAAACCCCTCTGATTTTTTGGTGTCAGTGATATTTAGTGTTTATAACACCTACAGGACAATGGTATAAAAATTGCTGTCCTTGAGAATGAGAGAAAAAATGCCAGAGAATTAAATTATTAATAATTCACTGAGCTCAAGGATAAACATTAGTTTAATGTGAAATTCCCATCTTCTCCATTTTCAGTATCTTGAGGAAAATAACTAAAAGGAAAGAACCAATCCAAAGCTTAAATAAAATTCTTAGCAGTGAATTAGGAACACACATAAAGAAATAAGTACGAAGTACATGACTTAAATTACAGTTAATTATATAAATAAAAGCTGTCATTATGCTTTTACTGTTATTATTCCCTGTGAGGAAAAAATAATTTTTACAAGGACAAAAGGGTGATAACTCTGGATAAACTTTATTAATTAATTATGTCTGAACTAAAAAAACATATTTAAACTATAAAAAGAGAAATAACCCAGAACCATTTTAATTTACTAGCATTTGAACTACTGTTGGCAGAATTTTTGGTTTGTCATGGTTTACAACCAATTTTCTACATTGGTAGTGAACTTTAAATTTTGAAAATGTCACATTTGGTTCCTAATAATTGTCCAATGAGCAGTGGGACAGAGCTTTTGCTTCCTTTGGAGTTGTGTTCTTAAATGACATCCTTGATGTCCTTTAAACCCTACTGATTCCCTAAAGCTTCTCCATCTTTTTGAGAATTTTATCCCTCTGTCAAACTGATTTGGAAACGACAAATAAGAGCAGAACAGGAGCACAGAGTTTGGTGCCTTTGGAAATCTGTCTGTCAGATATTCTGGATGGGTGGAGAAATGGCAGTTCCTGCATCCTTTTCCATGTTTTTTTCTGTTTTCTGCAGGGCTTTTTTCGAAGAACAATCAGGTTAAAGCTCATTTACGACCGGTGTGATCTGAACTGCCGGATCCATAAGAAGAGCAGGAATAAATGTCAGTACTGCAGGTTCCAGAAGTGCCTGGCTGTCGGAATGTCCCACAACGGTGAGTGACAAAATAACACTGCTGCTGGAATGCCCACATCCTCAGTCTAGAAACACATCAGAGAGATTGCCCCGATTTCAGGAGCCTCTCTGTGATTTGAGATTGCTTTAACATCAAAATCAGATAGGAGGAGATTTGCTTTTCTTGCTTTAATACATAATGCAGCATGAGTTAGTTTTAGTCTCCGTCATTCCTGCTCATTGGTAGTTCCTCCTGAATATATTCCTTCTGTGATTGCTATTTTTCTCTTCACTGTCTTTTCTGACCAGACCCTTTTGCCTGCTGGAGCTCAGGATGCTTCTCCTAAAAGCCAAAAACTAAATTATGGAAGGTGGGTTAGAGGATCTGAAGCTTTGTGAATACAGCAACTTGAATTTGCTGCACAGGTCACTTACCAAGGGCTGTTGGCATCACTGAGTTTGCACTTCTCATACTGAAACACAACATATTTGAAATTAATTCAAATTCATGAATTGTAACCTTTTAAAAATCCCTGTCCTCCTCCTTCCTAGGACACCCACATCTGTGGTTGCCTTCTTTACCATAAGTAATGGCATGAAGAATATCACAATACTGCTCTAGAAGAAAATCCCTCTGCACTTTAAAATTAACAGAGCAATTCATGTGGAAATACTTACGAATGTTTGGGCAGAAAGACATAATGAAGATTCTTTGTTGCCTTGCTTTGGCAAAGCTGAGTGAAAACAGGAATTAAATGTCATAACATAGAGACTTATGTAATTCTAAGGGTAAAGAATTGCAAACATGACTGGGAAAATAATTTCTCTGTGGTTTTTTTAGAACTTTCATTATTTTCAATCTAAAAAATGAGCGTGCTGTCCCCAAGAGGAAAGCTGGACTGTGGTTTGCAAAGTTAATGCATGAGCTGAATGTAAATTGGTCTGGGAAATGTTTTGCTAATAGAAAATATGGTTTTCAAATTCCTGGGATGCAGCAGTAACACTTAAAAATAAATCTAATTTTGAAATGCTACTGTGGGTATTTTTACAGTAATTCAGGAGGGGTTTTTATTCTTATTTTCAAGGTGCATGCCAAATTTTCCCCTGGCCTGGCAACACAGCTCCCAGCTGTGTCCATGGGATGCATGGGCAGTTCCGTCAGGAAGGGATGGCCCAGACCATTCTCTCTGGCTTACAACATCTAGAACAGCTTTAAAATTCACATTTTACCTGCATTTTTCCCTCTTTAGCCACTGCCCAGGCAGAAGCTGTGGCACCAACAAGGGTTTAGGAGCCAGGGGAGGACAAGAGCAAAGCCACTTGCCCCAGGGCTCCAAGGAGCATTTTACTTACTCCAGCCAGGAGTTCTCCCAACACAGGCTCAGTATTTCTATTCAGACCTTGCCTCTTACACCTACCTTCTTTTATTTTGCCTGCTCTGGTTTCACAAAACACCCTCATTCCTTCATAATTTAGAAACAATTTTATAAAGAAGAGCTGAATTTCACCTTCTAGGCCCCAGAAAGAAATACAACACTGGATGTGTTCCTACCCAGGTTCCTACCCTGAGCCAACAGAGCTTTAATACTAAATATTAAAATTTAAATATTCTTTACATTTTGTGTTGGTTGGAGGTAGAACCAAGGGGTTTCACCAGTGGCACCAAGACACATTTTGATGTTACATCTCCAGATTACACTTCAGCCATTTGGGTGGGGAAATTATCAGAATTTTAAATGCTTTGAAGCAGAATGTGGGTTATTTGTGCCTGAGGGTTCCAGTCCTTGTGTGGATGTATTATTGCAAAATGAGCAGGACGAAAGGGGGACTGCAAGGAGACACTCAGCAGCTACAGCCACATTTTTTCACGTAGAAATGCTCCATACCACTTGGCTAAAGGTTAAAAGAGACAGTGGTGTTCTCATGCTTGGAATATTGTTTTCCTTTCCTTCTCTAGCCACAGTGCTGCTCTGGGCTTAACCCTGAGTTGTGCAGATTGTGTTCTGAAGTGCCACTGAGCAGAAGCTTGGTTCTTTCCATTTTAAAATGTCATTTATTTTGTTCTCTTCTGCTGAAAGTACTGCTTGTATTAACCCAGCCACTGGAATGGGGAAAAAAGAACACATGACAATTTTTGTTTATCATCAATTCTAGGAGCAGGGGCTTGCTCAACCTGGGCACATCTCCACTAAAATCAGACAGGTGTCCAGCCTGGTTTTATCCTGTGTTTTCTAAGGTAACAAACTGTATCTATGGGCTAATTGGGGTGTCCTTTATGCCCAGAAATAATCCAGACAATCAGAAGAGCAATGCCCTATAGAGGAGTCTATAAAAAATCATCTTTTTTACATTTAACTTCTCCAAGAGGCAAAACCTGGGCTAAGGATAAATATTGTAGTTCATCCACAGAAAGCCAAAGGATAGAATGCAGCATGAGGGACTGACTGTGTTCACTACTGGCTTTCTGTTCCTGACATTTGGAGAATCCTGTAGATGCAAGGAGGAGGAACTGCCAAAGGAAAGAGAAATCCACGTTCCAGCTGCAGCCTCCTGCCCTGACCTGCAGAGTCTGGGATTACTGGGAGAGGAGCTGCCACCTGAACCCCTCTCAGCCAGCCGGGTTTCCAGAGCTCTCCCAGCCCTACTGATCCCTCCCCAGGCTCTCCTTTTCCCAGCCTAACCTTTGGAAGTGGCATCATCATCAGCCCCTCCTTATTCTCCTCTCATCCAAAATCCCCCTTTCCCAACTCCTCCCATAAGCCTCTGCCTGACCTCTCCCTGATTTTTGTCTCAGCTCCCTGAAAAATGACAGTGATGAGGATTTTTACAGAAGAAAACTGCTAGGCTAGTCCCACAAAATTGATTTTGCCCCAGATTTTGCCTGCAATGCTAATAAACATTGAACAGAATCTGCTGCATCTGATATCTCACCAATAAAATACATTCTAAACATATTTAGAATAATTTATTCCACAAAAAAATAAATCCTATGTCTATGAAATTGTAAGATAGGAATGCTTGATTCACAACCCTCCTTGATGTCAATGAATTGTTATATTTCAAACATACTCTCATAATGAAATGTTATATTTAAAACACATTTGAGTCCTGATCAACTTTTCTTTTGATGGAATGGAGTCTTCTGCCAGTAGGACCCTGCTTTTTATGCTTTTTTTATGAACCTGCTTTTGCAAACCTCAGCTTTCAGGAACAGGCCCACAACAGAAGCATTTCCTGCTGGTGTCCAGTATAATTTAATGTAAAGGACACCCAAGTAATTCTGAAATATCCAGCACACGTCACTCGCAGACTGAGGTTGCTGAAAGAGGAATTCAGTCATAAAAATAAACAATTTTCTTTCTACAGCCTTGAAATAAGACAACTGATCAATAAATATAATAGAGGAAAAAGTGGAGAGGGAGGATGTGTTCTGGCATAATTATTTATCCTTGGGAAAAAATGTCATGTTTGCCCATCAACACATTGCAGCAAACTCATAGAAAAGTGGCTGCTTGTTTCCAAAATAAACATCCCCAGTAAAATCATCTCTGTATGATCTTAGCAGCACTTGTCCTTTATCCAATCACTGGAAAAATATTCATAATATTTCTATTTCCCCCTAGGGCCAAAATGCAAAATCCTTGATTTCTTCTTTCCGTTTTTTGTTTGGATGCTCTTTTGTTCTGTTCTGTTTTCATAAAGCAAAATAAATTCTGTTTACTGAAATATCATCTGATAAATCAGTCTTGATTTTGATGGCTCATTTGAAACATTCTCCAGTCAGTCCCCATATGAATAAATAGGCTTGAATGGGAAGCACATGGACGGAAAAATAGGAGGTGCAGAGGAGATTTGAGCAATTTTGAGCTCATATGATGAGGTAGAACCATTTCCTGGTTTTTCAATACTGCATATGAACAACTCAGCCTTTTCCAGCTTTTTATTCCCTGCACAACCTTCTTCCCCGCTCCTTAATCCTGATGTTAACATTTTCTAGCACTCGCTACGTTGGATTCTGCTGAACTATTTCGGAATTTATTCCTTCAAGGCATGTGAGGGTTTTGTTTCTAAACAAATGAAGAACCTCAGATCCATGTGTTGATTTGCCCAAAACAATACAAGGCTCAATGGTGGTTCCCACCCTGAGCCAACAGAACTTTAATATCTTAAATATTCTTTGCATTTTATGTAGATTGGAGGTAGAACCAGGGGGTTTCGCCGACAGCTGACAGCAGGTTTGCATTTCTAAGCAAGGTACTATAATGGGCACAGACATGATTTCCTCTTTGAGATTTGTTTGTTTACATTTCTTTAAAGCTGTTCAGCTGTTTTGCCAAGATGACTGCAGCAAACCCTCTCTCCTTGCTTGCCTAGCCCTGGTTAACACAAGCTTCAGGCGCCCGCACCGAAAGGCGACAGAAAATTCAAACGAGCTTTTTGAGCTGCAGCTGCAGGTGCAGAAAGGTGGCGGAAAAGCCATTTAAATGTGCTTTTTTGTAACTCTTGTCGTGTTCCTCAGCCATCAGGTTCGGGCGGATGCCACAGGCGGAGAAGGAGAAGCTGCTGGCAGAGATCTCCAGCGACATCGACCAGTTAAACCCCGAATCTGCCGACCTGCGGGCGCTGGCCAAGCACCTGTACGACTCCTACATCAAGTCCTTCCCTCTGACCAAAGCCAAGGCGAGGGCCATCCTGACAGGAAAGACGACAGACAAATCAGTCAGTTCCCTCTTCTTTTTTGTTTCTTCCTTTTTTCCGAGTAAATGATTTGCCAAGTTGACAGCGCAGCTCTTTAAAAAAAACCAAAATACAAAACACCGAACCTAAAAAAAAAACCCCAGCCCACTTTGCTGTTGGCAGTTACACATCTCAAGCTGTGTCTGAAACACAGGAAATGTTTTTAGATAGAATAAGTAAACATTTTTTGAAAAAACTCCAAGTTCACCTAATAAAATACTTGAAACCGGGACAAGAATTCGAAGGTCACCTTAACCTTTTTGTATTCCCTGATCCTCTCTTCCCGTTTTCCTTCTCCTTGCCCAGAGGTTATCTGGCACATTATCTGTTTAAGGTGGCTCTTGAGCTGTCAGCAATTGCTGTTCCCTGAGGAATATTCCTTTTCCTGAGTGGCAAATGATTCCAGCCCCAGCAGAGCCACAAGGCTGAATGTGATGCTCATTCTTACGATGCTCTGATGAATTCCTGCTCTTCTCTGGGTTATCTCAGGTCACTTCAGTGCCCTGTGTTGCTGCAGTTGGAATTTTAGGAGAATGGACAGGAAAATCTTGGAAAAGTAAGGAATAAGTGGGTTTTGAAACTTCATTTGCAATGCATAAAATCTTCTGTATCAGTGAGAGGAGGAGAAATAACATCTGACCATTTTGGTAACAGTATTTTAATACCTAAAGAACAAAATGGTTTTACAAAACTCATAATTCTTAGCTTAATGTATTTTCTAGAATCATTGGCATAAATTTTATTGTCAGGATTACAAAAAAAGACTGGATTTTATTTTCCTTAATAATTTCAAGGACGGCATAGAACTCAGAGGTATTTCAGACTCAAAAAAGATATTTCTTCCTTTCCTTAAAGGCAATTAAAATAATAATTTTATTGTTGTCCAGAAATTGGTTGTACCCCTCACATAAAAGCTTTGGATGTGGTGGGCACTTATAATGTGAGTAACTTTTCAGAATGAAATATATAAAGTTTGAATTAGCTAATTTTATTTATTCTGCAGAAAGCAATGTGCAGCCTGCTCATGTCTTTAATTTCCACCACTGCAAATCTCACCCGGTAAATGTAGAATTGCATCAATTAATTCTCCTTTCTTCTTGGAAGTTTTTAAACTTTGGCACATTAAAAACAGCAATAAACCAGTAGACAGAGTCCAGCTTTTCAATGCTGCCAATTTTCAAGCCTTTGGTGAAAATACCACTGAAAGAGAGAGACTCAGTATTAAATGGTCACAACTTCCATGTTTTTATCAATGGATTGGGTGCTCTGGAGCATCAAACTGTTTACTATGGGCATAGTTTAAATTCATGTTATTTTTTAGTTGCTGTATGATCCCAATTAATTTAAAATGTTTGGATATGCGAGTGAGTGTATCAAAACTAGAATGAGTTATTCATCATCTCCTGGGATATACAGAGCTCATTTGACATAAGATTCTACTCTCAAGTTCATCTGAATCTTTATATTAAAAAATCTTTGTCTATTTTGAACTCTCTCTTGATTTTCATCTATCATGAATAGGCCAGTGGTGTTTATAAGCTTTCTAAAGCACGTGGACATGGACTGATGATGACTTTTTCTTGTACTTGGTGTTCCCACTAGAAGGAAGAGTAAGAAGTTACCTAGTAGAACCAAAAATGTGCACTTTAAAAGCATCTTCTGCAGCCTTGTTACTCCACTATTCCACGTGTATGCACATCCATATGTGCAGATAAGTATTTAATGGTTTTGCTGCTGCCAAAATGTCATTACCTGAAAAATTCCTTCTCCTCCTGGCTTTTCTCAGTGCAGTGTGTTTGTTGTTTCAGTGAAAGCAGGAAAATAATTGAATCCCTCCCACCGTCCCTCCTGGAATGTCATGGTCTGGAGCTGTAAATGCAAAACCATGAGAAGGTTTTAAGGCATAAGAATCTGCAGTCATAAATTACCTCCAATTTTAAAAATTGTTTCTTTAGTCCAATTGTTGGAGTATAATCCCTTCTATTTGAATTAATTAATCAAGTATGTTAACAAACCTATTCATATCAGTGGGATTGGTTCAGTGCAGCAGTGAACTATTCAGTCATTAATCCTCTGAGAGAAAGATTCTTCAAATGAATTTGAGAAATCCTCACGTAACCACTTCTTTAAGCCCAGGAGCTTCCTTTGCATATTCTGGAACAGATTGTTTCCAGATCCTAATGCAAGTATTCTGGCACTACTTTTTCTAAGCTGCTTTTAAAATTGATTTGTTCCAGTTGAGTTTATTTCACAGTCCAGCCTCATTCTTGTGTTCTGAATTATGGTTTGTAGCATGGTATTTGTCTTTTCTTTCCCAAAGACAACTTGAGTGGGTTTAAATATATCCTAATGTTGTTATTTTTAAAGGAGTTAACAGCAAAAGGTTGCATTTATCAGATAATCAATACCATAAAGTTGTTATTACTTGCAATGTTTCCTAGGATAAGACATGAAAGGAACATGAAAGTAAATAAAGGAATCAAAATGAGAATATTCTCAGTCTTCCCTCCCCAAAAAAAAAATAAAATAAAAGAAGGCTCCTTTACACTCATTGGATTCTCTTTTATAGAAGCTGTTATAATTCAGGTAGAAGTAGCATCATTTTAACCTTTTCTTAAACATTTCAAACTTTGAATTCTGGAATTACAGAACATTTTATAAAGCAAAAAGCAAACAAAGGAAAAGGCAAAGCTCCTGGATACTTTTAAACAGTGTTCCTTTTTCCCCTCCTTTAATTGGCCTTTCTGTAAATCATTCTAGCATTGTGAGGGTATTTGTTTCTATAGGTTTAGAGCAATTTAACTATTTGGGGAATCCTTGCTGGGTTTCTCAGGACAATTTAACTATTTTGGGAACCCTTGGCAGGTTGCTCAGAGATGTCTGAGGGGTTGCTGCTGAATTCTCTTCGGGCTTCTCAGGAGTCAGACGCTCTTGGAAAGGACATTTGGGAGTAAATGGACTTTCCTTTTGTTTTTAGCCCTTCGTTATTTATGACATGAACTCTTTAATGATGGGAGAAGACCAGATCAAGTGCAAGCACGTGTCCCCCCTGCAGGAGGAGAACAAGGAGGTGGCCATCCGCATCTTCCAGCGCTGCCAGTTCCGCTCCGTGGAGGCCGTGCAGGAGATCACCGAGTTCGCCAAGAACATCCCGGGCTTTGTCAACCTCGACCTGAACGACCAAGTGACTCTGCTGAAGTACGGGGTCCACGAGATCATTTATACCCTGCTGGCTTCTCTGATGAACAAAGACGGGGTTCTCATATCCGACGGACAAGGGTTCATGACGCGGGAGTTCCTGAAGAGCCTGAGGAAACCTTTTTGTGACTTTATGGAGCCCAAGTTTGAGTTTGCTGTGAAGTTCAATGCACTGGAATTAGATGACAGTGACCTGGCAATATTTATAGCTGTCATTATCCTAAGTGGAGGTAAGTGCTCTCTTATTTATATGGGATTTTAGAGGATAGAATTGACACTTTTAACTCCTGCCCAAACAGCAAAGTGCTCGGCACTGCAAGGTGGAACTGAGCGCGTTTACACAGCTTTTTTAGACACTTTCAAATTTCTTTTTTTGTTGTTTGCCCTTTATTCAGATTCAGACAGAAACTGAAAATGGAAATGCCCCGATATTAGTGATGGAGCTGGAAATGCCTGCTGAGTCATCAGTTCATGCAGGCAGAAAACAAAATCAGGGCTCTTTTGGAAAACAGGAAGGGTGGAATTTCACTGGCAGGAGCTAAAATTCTGCAGTTTTTTTTAAACCTGCAATTAGGTTGTGTGGCTTGCTAATTGAACACAAATAGCTTTGAGTCCAGAACAATTCCAAAGGATAGGTGGTGTTGGGCTCACAGGGTTACAGCGCTTTTCATTGTTCCTCCGTTCATGCAAGGTTTTGTTTGTCTTTAAAAGGAGGGGGGAAATGCTTTTGCAAGGACAATGATGGTCTCCTTAAAAAAAAACCCAGGCATTATGTGTTTCTCCAGCTTTCCTCAGCTGCTCTGCTTTATCTTCACACATCACACTTTGAGCAAAGCATGACCCAAAATCCCAGGTACCAGACTGCCCACATCCAACACTCCACTGTAAAAACACTGAGTTTCAGCTTTTCTGCAGCCAGTCCGTGTGTTCTCTGCTCCTGAGGTGAAGTCACCGTTCTGCTTTGTGAATTAGCCATGCTTACCAGGATTTATTTCACTTAGACACCTTCAGATATATTCCAGGCACATCGAAGCTCTGTTACTTTGGCCAACACTCCCAAGGCAGTGATGTTGCACAAATAAAATCTTGCCCTACAGATTTGTGTGTATTTTGGCCCAACAGGGAACTGCACATATCCATGGCAGGAATGTGCTGAATGCTCTGGATTCGGCTCCTCCGCAGAGCAACACCGAGGATTTTGTTATTAAATTACATTTCAGCAATCAAACACAACCTCCTGCTATTGTTCTAAAAGCAGCCCTGCTGCTGGCAGGGCACTCTTAGGTATAGCTGCATTTAAAATCACCTCCAGTTCCTCCTGGCACCGTGTTTCATTCAGGTCACAATATAATTTATGCCGCCAATTCCATTTCCAACAAGAATTCCTCCCAGAAATTTCCTTGTGCAAACCTGGGGCACTGTGATCCCTGAGAACTCTGCTTTACTCCAGGAAGGAGAGCACCTTGCTGGTGTATTTTTGGTTTGTTTTGGTGGGAGAGGAGAGATGGGACAAACCTATCAGGGCACTACTCAAAACGTGCCAATATTGTGTGGTTTTTAGTATAATGAAATGTGACAGATGAGAAAAAGGCCTCTCAAAATTCTCTCCTAAATGCAAAAAGGGAACTTGTATTCTGCAAAGCCCTGTCCTCAGCAGTGTTTCCACCAGAGGAAATAGGAATGATGTTGCCAGTCTCACATTTTAGATTGCAGTAGGACAATGATTCACATACAATAATTAACTGTGTTGAACCAGATTTATCAGCATGTCTCCTTTTTTTTTTCAGAATAATTTGTCAACAGAGACATGTAAAGAACTAATGAATTTGAATCAAGTAACTGTAGCAAAACTCTGAAACAAATCCATAGAGACATATAAATCCATATAAATATAAACCAGTCCTTTCTAGGGAGATCCTTTAATTTCTTGATAACGAAGACCTCCCTATATTTTTTCAGAATTTTTTTTCCCAAAAAACTATGATAGCTGCTTGAAAAAAAAGAGTTCATGTTTTGAAAACAATTAAGCTTTGTTGCCAATTAAAGAAAGCTTTTATCATGGAATTTACAGCCAGATATGATATCTATTGAACTGGATGCATTCTGTGGGATTAAAATATCTTGTGTGTAAAACTGAGTCCTGTTTCTCAGCTGTCTCAGCCATTTCTGTAAGAGCTACATCCTTGCAAAATTGTATTTCTGTAAGATCTATTTGAGTATAGCAGGATGATTTCATTGAGAACAGGATTTCAAAACCAGAGCACCTTGAGGACTTGACTTGCTGCAGGAATCCTGCAACGCTTAAATCCCTTCACAAAATCCTGGGTACAAACTTCTCTAACAGCAAACAAGTTTGTGAAACCCAAAAAGATCCCAGCCAGGGGCTCTGAATCAGTGGATCTGGTATTACCTAGTGAAATGATGCTAATTCTGCTGGCTCCAGGGGGGCTGGCTCTAACAAAAGAGGAGAAGGGAAAGATAATTCCAGCTGGAATATCACATGTAGAAAGATTTCTGTTGGGAAGTGTTTGGAATTTGCCACAAATCCTATAAAACTCTTCAGCCTTTTGATAACCAAACAGCTGCTTTTGCATGTTATCTAAAAAGGCAAAAAGCCCAAATCACAGCAGTAAGGAGCTGACAAATTAACTTTAATAGCAACAGATGGAAAATACTCCCACTGTTGATTTTACTGTTCCTGAGCTGCTCAGTGCAGCCTCTCTCTGTCTCAACTACTCCAAATGTTTCTCTGAACTCATTTCTGGAGAGCTGTTGGTGCTGTAAAACAAAGTAAATGGCAAACAAAGTCTCATATTCTGAATTTAATGCAGATGAGACACTGTGTGAGAGCATAGGATTTCACCTTGTTTGTACAACAGAAATGCTGTTGGCCATCAACAGCACCAAACCCTGATTACAACATCCTTCCAGCTGTGGTGACTTTAAAAGACACACTTTGGTTAAATGAGCTTTGGAAAGCTTTGTTTAGGAGATATTCTTCCTCTGTGGCACTGAGACTCATCCTCAGTCATCAGTGAGTGCTCTGCTATACATGAGAAAGAGCTGAAGCATCTTCGAAAAATCACATCCACCTGAGCTGAAAATGAACTCTGTCACAAGAAGTTGGATGGTTCTGTTTGAGCTCCAGGCCTTCTTGGGACAATTCACATTTATGAACTGAGCAAACTCACTCAGGCAGACTGTTGTCAAACAAACAAACAAAAAAAAAGCTCAAAAAGGAACTTTGTGGCATGTATTTTGTGTATTATCTTCTGCAGTGGTTGGATCCAGCAGCGTTTGGATGCAGGAATGTTTGCATACAGCAGTGTTTGGGGCAGAGTATCCTTGTAAAGATGCCCATTCTGCCAGTCCATGTGCAGTCAAACTGATGTTTAAATTCAGAAATGGATTTAAAGTCACTTTTTTTCTGTTTTCTGTGTGGTTTTCACCCTAAATTTTAAGCCACAAGTCCCTGCTCCTGGTGTAAACACTGTATTCAGTCATTTTGCTGCGTTCTCAGATCAGCAACATTTGAACTTTTATCACTGACTATTACCAAGAAGTAGTTCCTGTTTCGCTGCCACACAAATCCTGCACTTTGTAAGAACAAAGAAATGCTTTGTAATCAGAGCAAGAGCTGCAGATCATCACTGAACCAAAGTCCTGGTGACTCCAATACATGTGACAGTCTCAGAAGACAAACCTCAAATTGCTGAGTCACATCTGCCTCAGCAAAAGAAAAAAGAAGGAGCACATGTGTTCACTCAGCCAGATTTTTGCCTGTTTTTTTCATACTGAGATTTTAGAATGCACATGTAAAATGTAAAATGCATTTATTCAAAGATAATAAAATGTAAAGACAGGTAGGTAGCAATTTCATGTGTAAGGAACAGGTAAAAAAGATTGTAATTATTGTTAGGGACATGAAAGAGGCATCCAAAGAAGTAAGTAAATAAACAAATAAAATATTTTCCCCTGAGGCAGTGTAGAATATCAATTTACACAAAGTGGTACTGCTGGCACTCAGAGCTTTGGGGTTATTTGCCTTTCCCAGTCACTGTGGACATTTTCTGACTTAGAACACTTCCCTGCACAGTTTTCAAACCAATTGAAGCAGCCATAGGACAATGAATGAAAACATAAAGCAAATGTGAATAAAGAAACATGATAAAGAACAGGAAACCATGGTGCTCTCCTGGCATTTTCCTTTTTCCTGCAAGGCACATCCCCCTGCAACTCCTTACTGCACCGACCTCACCTTTTGGTACAAAACCAAATTGGTCTGGAGCATATCTATTTCAGAGCATTTTAACAGCTTGAAATATACCATAATAGCTGGATGTTTAAGCTTTCGCCTCTTATTTCCTTTTTTTCCTGCTTTAGATAAGTTTCTTGGAACAGAAGCAGCATTTTCCTCTGTAAGAGTTTTTTACTGAGAAAGTATAGCAAACTGTCAACACCCAAAAAACACTGCCTATATCCTGAAGTTCTCATTCATGAAAAATCTCTCTTGCCTTCAATGGGAATTTTCCTTCCTCTTGAATTGGCTTATTTAAAAATAACATCTGATGATCTCCTAGGCTTTTGTCAGAGTCATCTTTTCTGCCTCTGGTTCCACTGGGTCATTAGAAACTCAACAGATTGGGGTTTTTCAAGGGGTTTCATGATTTTAGCCACTGCAGTCTCACTGAACTTCAGTTGACCTCAGGCATCGAAATTCAGGGGGCTCCTGATAAACTCCAGACCCAGAGGAGTTTCCTCCTGGACCCTGGAGCACAATATTTGAATTAGGATTCGCTCCTGAAAAACTCACACCCCAAAAAATTCCCAGCCCAAAGGAGCAGGGGGCAAAGGGAGATGAATCTCAGAGGAAATCGAGGCCACGTCTTTGTGCTCTCTGATTATTTTCTGTCCCTGCACACTGAGTCATGCCCAGCTAGCTCAGAGTTCAACTGCAGCACACAAGGAAAATTTAAAGCTATCACAACCCCAAATTATTACCAGCTTTGAAGGGCTGAAATTTGGCAAGTCTCAGAAAGATGTCAGCTGGATTCTGCAGCCCATGTAATGCATTCAGGCAATCAGAAAAGAAATATCTAGCATTTATCAAAAACTCTTTAGGTATCATTAAAAATATTGCCAAAGGAAATTGATAAAATGGAATCTTTTTTAATATTTACTCCCAGACTTTCTGAATCAGATTTTATGAGGTTATCAGTTGAATGGGATAAATAAATTTTATGGGGTTATCAGTTGAATGAGATAAATAAATTGGTTTTAATTATAATTATTAATTAATTTAATTATAATAACTGTTTTAGTAATAAACATATGTATAATATAAAATATATAAATAATAAATTGCCTGCAGGACAAGCACTTTGATGAACAAATATCCAGGTTCACACTGAAAATTACTTTTTTTTCCCTATCTTTGAAAAACTCTGCCTAAACCTCACCTCTTGGAGAACCGAGTATCCTTTCCTGATCAGTGACCTTCATTTTCATGGCTGTGTACTCACTGGTTTTCCTGCCAGCTTTGCATTTTAGTTTATACTGCAGTTTTTTCCCCCATGAAGTAAAGCCACGATGTATTTATAAAGAGCTTTGTTTTCTCTCAGCCTTTTTGCCGGTGTGCTGCACAACTCGAGCTGAGTTAGGAGAACTCTGTGCTCAGAAAGGTTACCAAGATCACAGGAAATAACAGCTTTTTTTTATGTTTTTAACAGAGATCAGCCTCTCATCCTTGCTGAAATGGAATTATTGCCTTAGGGAAGTGATTTAAGGCTTGCAGTAGGCACTGCTTTTTATTGATCAACCTATGAAATTAATTTCATAGCTGCACAGCAAATTTTATTTAAATTATTGACTCTTTTCCTGATCTATTATGATATTTGGGAAGTGTTACTCAGTATTAAGTATTTTAGCAGTAACAAAATTCATGGTAGTCGTTGTCATATGTGAGGATTTCATAAAGTTAAGCAGCTTTCATTGCTTAGACACTCAAATTTCATTAACTTTCAGCACTGGAGAATCAAATAAACTGCAGAAGTTGAGTTTATGCCTTTTTTTTTTTTCATTTGATGGGTCGATATCCACCTTAGGGGGAAACATTTTTAGTGGCAGCAGCTACATGCAAATCCATCAGAGTATATGTTGATTTTCCAGAAGTTAATTACCTGATAGAGATTGTTTATCCCCCAACTATCTCACTCTTTTTTTTCCCCACACACCCTCCCAGTTTACTGTGGAAAATCCGCTGTAGTGGAGTATAAACCTAGCTCTGGAGTAGGAAACTAGTTCCAAAACCCCTCTGAGGAAATCCAGGGAAATCTTACAAACTACCTGAAGGTCAAACAGCTCCCAGGAAAAGCCATTTGCAGAGGCTTCATCTGCTTAGGAATGTGTAAGAAATTAACGCACGGGAATTGATGCTGCGATGCTCGTAAACTCACAGGTCTGTTTCTCCCCAGCCCGCCCAGTGGAAATGTTTCCAAGATTAGTCCTAGAACCCCTTTGAGCAAATCCCTTTTGTGAAATCTTACAAACCACCAGACAGCTCCCAGGAAACGCCACCCGAATTTGTTGGGACGCGTGTAAGAGATGGATGCGCGAAGCCGGTGTCGCGATGCCGATAAACTCATGACCCTTTTTTCCCGCAGACCGCCCGGGGTTGTTAAATGTGAAGCCAATTGAAGACATTCAGGACAACCTTTTGCAAGCCCTGGAGCTGCAGCTGAAGCTGAACCACCCCGAGTCCTCGCAGCTGTTTGCAAAGCTGCTGCAGAAAATGACGGACCTCAGGCAGATCGTCACGGAGCACGTGCAGCTCCTGCAGGTCATCAAGAAAACCGAGACGGACATGAGCCTCCATCCACTGCTACAAGAGATCTACAAGGACTTGTATTAATGAGCAGAGCAGTTCTTAATCCCCTGACATAATGTATGTTTTTCAGATTGCACTATTTCTTTGAGGGAAAAACTTGGCGTACCTAAGAAATTACTGTGAAACAGCATCTAAAAAGAGAGAGCTTAGTATAGTAGGTCTATTTTATGCATATTGTTTATAAAGACACATTTACAATTTACTTTTAATATTAAAAGTATCTATATCATGAAATTGTTGGCAGTATTTTCAGAATTAATTTTTTAACTACGTTATTTCTTAAAATTGCTTGTCCAAGTATGATCGATGCTTCACCCAAGCATGCAGTTAAATTTTTAGCTAAATAAAAACCTTTCTCCTTGAACATTTCCAGGGAAATGTTTGAAGTATTAACATTCGATTTTGTGCTCCCAAGGCGGCAGCAAAACAAAATTCAGTCACAGATTAGTCTAACTTCCCAGGAGAGTTTCAAAGGGAGAAGTGTCAGGTCTGAAAATATTCGTGCCTTCCATGATAAGATGTGACACTGACAGAGCTCTGCAAAGGGGGCTTGGTGCAAGGAGAAATGGGGCCACTCATTTGTGGGCAAACTGAAAAATTAGATGCCATTTCAAGAATTAATTAAGGGAGGAATATGCAAGAATCCTTTTGATTCCTCTGCTCGACCAAGTTTGAGACAGCTGGAGCAGCAGCTACTCCAATTCCCACCCCACAGCAGCCAGAGCTGAGCTGGAATAGGTTGGTCCAAACCTCTTGGCCTGAGACCTTCCCCAGTTATTTGATAAATTGCCATTGAACAACAGTCAGAATATCATGGAAAAATTGCAGTGTTGTGACAAATTAACTCCTAAACAAAAGCAAGGTTTGGATGAATTCTTGTGCAGAGATAAAGCTGGGATGGAAACCCTGAACCCTGAGTTCCACTTGAGCTCTGGATGTTCACCCAAGGATGCTGGGAGATGTTCCTGCTCTTGAGGTCACTGGTTCTCTTGCATGTGTTGCCCCATAATGTCATCTAAGAGTTCCACAGGGAGCAGAGCACAGCAGAGTGAACAAATTTAACAGAAGATGAATTCCCTAGCAATGTCATTTTGGGGTATTCTTGGTACCGAGGTGAGAGATTCACATTTCACCCCCTCACATTTGATAGTCTGTGAATGTGACCCCTGACTAAATCAAGCAGGGGAGACCCACAGTGGTGGACCAGAAGAGGAAATACTAGGGGAAAAGCACTATTTGTGACATATATCAAAATAAGGAGAGGTCCCCAACATCCTTGGTTCCCTCCCCATGTCTGTATTTTATTTATGTAGCAAAAAATGTGCCTTAAACTGAGACAAGGGGAGTGCTGATTCCCAGTTGGACAAAGAGGTGATGTAGGTGTGAGGAGTAGAAATTGGCTTTGCTCCTAATGTAGCCCTTGAAACTCTTAAGTCAATGCAAATTATGCAATAAAGAAGCTGAGAGAGGTAAAGATTAAAATTAATCCATCAGCTCATGCCTTCTACACCTGGAAATGTTTCCTACCACTTATTCCAGGTAACCTCTGGGCCTAAGGTCAGTAGTGAGCGTGATTCCCACCAGGAAGTTTGGGGAATTGGATCATTCAGCCTCCAGGTTTAGAGCCCACAGGTGGAATTGCGCTGAGATGAAGTCACTGCGAGGCTGGAGAGAACAGCTTTGATCCTGCCAGGCTTGCAGTGAGGTCATTTCAGGTAGCTCAGAAAGGATGGCCCTGGAGCAAACACAGGATTGCAGCTCATGCTCAGCACTGCAGCTTTGCTGCACATTCCAGGTGGTTCCAGCTGAGCGTGGCACGGGCAGGAATCGCATTCACACCTTCATGGCTGGTACAGTGCAAAAGAAAATATTCTCTCTCCCGTTGAAGTTGCTTTCCACTGTTCATTTGAAGTGTTGCCTTCCATCCCTTAGTGGGAAAATTCTGCAGAGTTCACCCCGGCCGTGGAGGATGGGCCAGAGATGAGCTGGCACTGGGATGGACCCCAGCTCCAACACTGAATTCCTGTAACAGCAACACCCAGCAAGAACCACAAATCTGAGCCTGCATTTCTTTAGCAATCCAATTTCGCACTGGCTTCCCTTGAAATGGAAGTCCAGAAGTAGTTTCTAATGAAAAGGAATTCTAGGGCATGTCCTTACAGAGGTAATATTCAAAATTATTTGAAAATGAGTGGCAGAGATGCTCTGATGGGGAAATTGAGTCCAGGGCTTTGTTACAAAGTACTGAAAAAAAATCTGTGTAACCCAGCAGCACATTAACCAAAGAGCTTCATCCCACTCCTGCAAGGGGCGATATTTCTGAAACTGTCTATGCAGCAGTGACAGTGTCGAAGCCACTCAGTCCAAAAATCCCTATATTTTGAGAGTGGTAATGTAATCATAATCAGAAGAGCTTTGCAGGAATGGGTGTTATCCTTTATGAGGATGAAGGCACCGAATGCCCAAAAGCCTCTACTTTTCTTTCAACTGTATCAGCTGCTCTAATAAAATATATTGTTCTCCCTACACCCTGTCTTCTCTCACATATCGATATTATTCACCATGTTTTCCTCAAGCCATGCAAAGTGTTAATTTTTTATGTGAGTTACTAATCACTGACATGTTCTGATTCTAAGCGGTTACATCATGGTTAAGAAGTTTTGCCTGAAATACTTTTCTACAAGAATAGGTCTTAAGGGAAAAATGTTCATTTAATGGACAATTGCTATGTACTAATTTAGAACAAATGACTGTTATGAGGATATGAAAACATTTTCTCAAAAAATAGCATTTTCTCTTGTGAATTATATTCAGAATTTTGATCTTATTGTAAATACTTTCTGTTTCTATGGGACTTTATTTATTAAAAACAAAAACTTGCTAATGGGAGTTCATCAGTAGGTTGTAATACTTTCAGACTCTCTAGAGTTTTGGGTAGAACGGGCTACACCATAAATGAACAATTTGGGTTTTGATCTTCAGTGCTACTAAAAGCATTTAAGAACTCCAAAATAGAAGCAGTCAGCTGGTACATGGCTGCCTTTGAAGAGTTTGATTTTGCTGGTGGTGTGCTGTTCCTCAGTCATCTGCTCACTACATCATTAACATCCTCGGGGATGGTGTGGGATCCTGGAGATTCCCACAGGCTTTGAAACTTCTGGGCTGCTATTCTGTCTCGTATTTCACACTGCTCTGCTTTTGCTGTGGAAAAGCTGGAGGTAAATTGAGTCCAGAGAAGGTCATTTGATGTCCCTGCACACATCCAGCTCGTTCCCCTCCCCCTGGCGGGCATCAGAACATTCCTTGTAGGAGCTCAAAGGTCCCTGCTCAGCAGGAAAAATTACCTTCTTCAAACATCACTGGTGTGACCATTTCTGCAGCAAATGTTGCTGTGAGGGCCTGGAATGAAAAGTGGGAGGAGAGAAAAGCATTTCCAGAGTCCCTGCTGTTATGGCAAAGGCGGCCCAGACCATTTCAGCCACGGTTTTCGTAACAGTGAGGAAATCCCCTTTGTCCCCCTGGTGCAGGTGATTCCCCACCCTTCAGCACTCCCTAACAGACCCTTCTCCCAGCACAGCCAGCCCTCAGCTCTCCAAAACTCCGGGAAATGGGAAATGGGCTTCCCAAGAGCTGCTGTCCCCCGTTGTGTGACTGAGCCCCTTCCCTCAGCTAACACACCACGGCTTCCAGCCACCGTGGGTACAGATAAGCCCTGAGGGATCAGGATTTAGTATTTGGTTTGTAGCTGTAAACTCTGTCTTGTGGCTGAGTACATTTTAATGGGACTTTTTGCCTTTGAAATAAGAGGTAATATCTCTTAAATGGATGTGACATCAGCTTTGTAGACACAAGCAACACAAAGCTGCAGCTAGAGATTTATAGGGGGAGGAAAACAAAACTGAAGGGTAACAACCCCAGCAAACACCTCCTGGATCAGCAGCTCAGCCACACACCTGTCAAACAGTTCAGGTTCACATTCAAGCACTGGAAAAAAATATGGGTCTCATCATAAATCCCATTCCAAGTGCCTTGTCTGAAAAAACAGTGGTCAAAAATCAGCTGCGCAGGGGTTTATCCAATTCCACGGGTACAAGAAATTCTTCTACACTTCCATTCTTCTGAGCACTACCCAGCCCTGGAAATGATGGTTGTAAGAAAGACAATTTCTGAACTTCTGGATTTTCATTTGGACACACAGGGTATGGAGAGGAAATTAGGCAGCACATCTTCACTGGCTTGAAGCAAACACTCAGGAGGCAAGGACTGACCCAGCAAAGGAAGAAAGGAGGAAATGATTCCACAGCTTTGGATGCAATGTAGCAGGGTTAGATACGTGTGTGTGCAGGGTCTTGCAGGATTTCACCTTTGGTTTTTTGTAAGAGCCAAATGCCCCATGGACTTGGTGTTTGCAAGAAGTTTTAGCACACCAAAGCCAGCGAACAGCATCCATAAATTTATATGTTCCCAAAATAGGAAAGGCTTGTTCAATTCACAGCCTCTTTCATGACATCTCTTTATTGCTTAATGTGGCCAATATTGAGGTATTGCAGGTCTGGAGCTTGGCTGGGTCCTGCAGCAGGAGTTCTCTGGGCAAGCATTAGCCAAGGCAGTAACTCTCAGATTTCTGGGGTTAAATGCTTCAGGACTTCTTTCAGATGAGAAATTAATTCAATAGACTTTTGCGAATGGCTGAGATCAGCTCCCCGCTCTCAGATGGGACAAGTTTCTAATTAGGATTTTGCTAACTGAACGTGCCTCTCAGCCCTGCTTTAGGAAAGGGTAAAGCCAAAAAAGAGCTTTAGCTGCTAGTGAGAATAGCCCTTCTATTGAGACACAAACTGGTTAAGGGCTTTCTGTTTTAATTATTAAGCTTCCTTATTGCTCTGGAAATGGGGAGCATTTTCATAACAGCGCTGGCCAAGAGGAATATCCATTGCTCATTATGTTATACACTGTTACCCAACGAGGTTTTTTCAGCTCAGTGGAGACAGCGAGGGAGAAGTGAACTCTCCAGAGGCAGGGGAGGGAAGGAGGAGAACGCAGCACCATTGGTTCTCACACTGGGAAGAGCTGGCAGTGCAGGAGGAGATCTTGTCCCGCTTGCTGCAATGATGATTAAAGCATTCTGTTGTGTCAGCATATCCTCGGTTTGTTAGTGCTAACTCTCAGCTGGCCATATCCTGCCAGATTTGCAAGCAAAGCCTGCCAAGCCATCTCAACAAAAATGTAG